ATTTAAATAGATACGAATTCAAACAACGTGAATTCAAACATTATTAAATTACAATTAGCGATCGAGGGATAAGCTAAAAAAAAAAAAAATCGGTTCGATATGCGATAATGAAAGAAGATAGAAATATTTCGAAGTATTTCGAGCATTTCGAGAATTATTTTAGTTCAGTCAAGTTATTAAGAATCTCGTTCGAACGAACGAGAGGAAGAGAATCCACGCGAGAGGAATAGAGATATGAAGAGTGAGCGTTGAGAAAAAAATCACCTTGGGCATCGGCTGCGTACGATCGGTAATAAAGTTGTTCGACTCTTGAAAAAAATCGCGATCTCGTATACAACGTTCAACATTTAACCTTTTTTTTTTTTTTCATTCTTTCTTTTTTTTTTTTTTTTCGTATCAGAATATAACGCAACATTTATTTCTATAAAAAAGATATTCCAAGTAACAAGAAGAGGAGTGTTGTCGATTGCGCAGGTGTCACGATTGCGTCACGTGTTCCGGATCGATTTTCTTTTCTTTCTTTTCTTTCTTTTTTCTCTCTTTTTTTTTTTTTTTCACGCGTCGACTCGCTAGAGCAAGCAGACTCGACGGATCAATTGTTAACGTTGTAGAGCATTTTGTAGTGTATCTGTCGGATGAATTCGCCGTTCCCGGATGTAAGGAGAACGGGCCAACATTCCGGGCTCTCTCGTACGTGGCGGTGCAACGACTTCCTCCATTTGTAAGATTTCGAGCAGGCCAAACAGGTGTTCCACTCTGAAAAAGAAACGCGTTCGTCTCGTCAATAAGAGGAGAATTTTCATCCAAGAAAATGTACGCATTTTGGTCGTGCTTTTTAATCTCGCGGACGAGGGGCTGCATGTTCGATCGTTCGTTTACAGTAGTAGTAGTAGTAGTAGTAGTAGTAGTAGTACTAGTAGGGGAATTGACGGCGCGATTGCGTTATTTGGGTGACGTATGTTTTTTTGTGTGCAGAGTGAAGTTGAGTTCGGTGGAGAACAGTTGAGGGAGGAGAGATGATCCGTCGGTGATGGTACACACTCTGTTATTGTTTGGCGTTTTGCGAGAATCACTTTGCAATCACCGTGTAAAGACTCTTGAAACTGACTGGACAAACTGTTGAATTTTTTTTTTTTTAAATCTTGATTCGATCCTTGATCTTGAAAATCACTTGGAAAATTTTTAAAAATTATATCATCCGGTCGAGAGATGAAATCACGATTACAAAAGAGATCGATGCACGAGTAGAATTCAATTTTCGATGAATCCGTGAACTTTTAAAATAACTCGATGAATAATTTTTAAAAAAATCGATTCGTTCATCTGTAAACGAGAAAAAAAATTATCTCCAAGATAAGAGGAAGGAGTTTAACTAATACACGCGAAAAATTGTCTAAATTCTGAGGAGAATGATTGTCGATGCAGATTGAATGATTCAACAATAGAATCAAATTGAACATTCTTTAATATTCGATCGTTAGATGATATAGGCAAGAGGCCAATAAGCTTTGTTATAAAAGATTAATTAATTTTTTCCTTTTCCTTTTTTTTTTTTTTCAAGCACCATCTCATTTTTCTCTTACTTCGAAGAGCTGTAATGTACAACATCTCCAATTATAGACGACCTGCAAAAGAAATCGCACGATTAGTCGAAATCGAAGAAGAAATCGTTTTCACGAATGGACACCGATGTTACCTGTTACCGGTAATATCGATAATACGAGTTACATTTTTCTGATCGGGACGAGAGAATCCTACTCCATCTTCTTCCTTTTCCGAATTTAATAGCGGAAGACGGTGATTAGGAGCTCACGAAAAATAAAGAATATATTGATGGTTTATATATAGTCGTTGAGATTAAAAGAGAATTGAGAAAAAATACGATATATCGGATTGGATCGTTGCTTCGTCGACACTTTATTAATTGGTGTCGTCATAAAAACGACGGGTCGCTGCGATACACAGTACTTTTTCCTCGAAAACTATCATGATTTTCAGTTCTGAGTTCTCGTCTTCGAGTTTTTTTTTTTTTTTTTTCTCCCGTTTACGCATTTTTCGCTATGCTCGATAATATCGATCGAGCATAGTCGTGATCGATTCGTTGAACGAATTTTCACACACAGTCGCAGGAAGATGGAAGAAGCTATTATTTCGGGGGTACCATTCAAATCTTGGCCACGCAACCGTGTTCCTTCTTCAGATGATTGAGCAGGTTGAACTTCATGGGCATGATGCTGTGGCAAAAGGGACACGTGTACAAAACTCTACCGCATTCCTCTCGCACGTGCCGATTTAGGGCCATTCTCGATCTGTACGTTTTCTTGCACTCGCAGCACGCGTGGAAACCTGAAAACGAAGGAAGAAAGGTATCTTTGAGTATAAAAAAACGTTGCTCCCCTCGATGATTTTTCACGAATAAGCGAATGTCGCTTCACAAAAGCATCAGCAAAGCATACTATCCTCTCTCTCTCTTTCTCTCTCTCTCTCTCTCTCTCTCTCGCTCTCGCTCTCTCTCCTCGTGTCGTTTCTTTCTTCCATTGATGACTCGATTTCGTTTCCTCTTAATATAAAAGCGTGTAACGTTACGCTTTAGTCTTAACAAGCGTATACACACCTCGAGTGTACCTTCAAGTACGTATCGATTTATTAATCCATCATTTTTTGCTAATATGTACATATATAATATATACATACATAAAACGTAACGTACAGGTTCCCATCTCTATCTAACACCGGCAGAATCACGTCTAAAAAAAGACTTTTTATCATCTATTTTTTTTAATCATCATTTTGAAAGTAACAAGCTAAACAAACTAAACGTTCTGTCTATCGTGTATATATATATATATATATATGGAATAGGCCCGTTCAAATTATTCCCGATACGTTTGAATAGTTGCAGCACTCGTTACCAGATGTCTCTCGTTGTCTGACTCATACTTTTATTCCTACGAGAAATGAAATTCCATCCGAAATTGTGACGTGCCAAATGTCACAGAGATCGTCTGCGGAAATATTAATAACGAAAAACTAATAAATAATTACCAGACGAAAGAGCCTACAACGTTCCTTTTCATACCTTTTAACATATCTTCCTTTCTTCAGTCGTGTCTCCTCTCTTTGTGCCATGAATTGCCATAAAGAATAGACTGGAGATTAATATCAGCGGATGAATTTTTAATAGAAAAATTCGATCATTGTGTAAAAACGAGTTTCACGAACAACGATCTCTGTCGACGATCGAGCAACCTCGCCATTTAGCGTGACGTCTCTCCTTCGATAACTTTTGACCTCGAGTTAGCTCGATTCACGAGCCTTTTACCCGCTTTGCACGATGTTTTTAAGACTTTGTTTCGAGTTCATCACGCTAGGACAGCGAGGGTAAGATATCTTGCCGCACTTCTCTCGTTCCAAATTTATCTTCCATTCGTGTGTGTGTATTGCCGCAGGGACCGCACGTAGGTAGCTGAAACACGTAAAACGAATTACTCGTTATTAGAAATCCTGATAAAAATCTCGTTACTCTTCTGCCTTCTGTTTCGTCGACTAACTAACGTTTTTCCATTCTTCTTCCATTCTCGTTGTTCGTGTTTCTCTGCTCTGTGGAGAAAAATGTGGAGAAAAATATGGAGAAAAATAGGAGAGAGAAAAAAAAGAGAGATAGAAAGAGAGAGAAAATGAAGTGAATAGAAATAAAAGTAAAGCTCTCTTTGTCATCGATCGCCTAAAAAAGACAGTTTCTACCATCAGTTTACGATACTCTTCTGTTTTCTTTATTTTTTGGTATTACGAAAATACATGCATTTACGAATAGAGCAGGGGGGAAGGGGGGAGAGTTAGGTGTTAAATTCGCGATGGCCGTGTTTTAACGAGCATCAATTCGTCACGGATCACGCTCGCTGTATGAGGAACAACGCAATTCGAGTCGACGCTTTTTTATCTTTTTATATATATATATATATAATTTTTAGTTTTTTCTTAAATCTAAGAGCGGTGTAAAATCAGTCACGCGTTTACATAACGAACAACTGGCGAACTGGTTTGGTTTAAAAAGTTAAAAATCACGGGAAGGAGGAAGGAAATTGCCCTTAATAGTAAGATTCCTGCCACTTTTTTTTCTTCGAGAGAGAGAGAGAGAGAGAGAGAATATACGAGACCTGAATGTACGAGCGTACGTATATACGTATATAACGAAGCAATGGACTACGACGAAAAATTATGCTTGCGTTTTGGACTAGCAATGTACAGAAAGACGGTTCAAATCTTGGTAAGATATATGATTAACGATATTACGAGAAACTTTCCGTTTCGTACAACTTAAACTACTATTTTTCAGTTTTTTTGTTCTTTTTTTTTATTTTTTTTTTTTTTTTTTTTTTTTTTTTGTTTTTCTTTTTAATCATTCGACGTGATCGTTCAACGAAGAGAGAGAAAGAGAGAGAGAAAAAGAGAAAAAAGGAAAAGCAAGATTCTTTAAATAGAATCAGACGTAACGTTTTCGCAATGTTCTCGATATTACCGTATCGAAAGTTTGAATTTATAGGAACGAGTAAGAAAAATTTGAATAGGATCGGGTAAAATCGTAATGGATACTTGGAAAATAATTCAAAATTTTTTCAAGATCTCAAGACTCGATTCGTGACTTTTACTTTACGGTAACAGTATATCGGTCTTCGGCCGATTGCGTCCGATCATTGCCGAACCCATCCGAAGTCGAACTATCCGATTACATGTTCCGCATTTTCGCGATTCTATCCGAAGTTTCGCCCGATTCTACCCGAATTTTCTCGACTCAACCCGAACTTATGATTACGGAACAACGCACTATACTTGTAATGTTAAAAATTGAACTGCGCACGCTAGTAGAATCGTAACCTCGGTCGCTATTCACTTTCTTACCGGATCCTGAAACATTCGTAGAACTTATATTAATATAATAATCGCGAAAAGCGCGAAAATTGAACGACACAGGCGACGCTGACTACTAAAAAAAAAAAAAAAAAACGAGCAAAGCGAGAACAAACAATGGAAAGAGAGAGAGAGAAAAAAGGAGAAAGGAAAGAAATGAAAAATCCGCGCTTTCCACTCTGCACCGCTAGTTTTCGTCGTCGATTCAAACACCGTTTCCGCTATAGGAGCTGGCAGGCACGAGGAAGCTTCGACGCGAGTTTAAGGCAATCGGTTGCCGCGTGACGCGGATCAGGGGAACGCTCGAATCGGATTCGAAGGTTCAGGTGTTCGGTGACGTGACCTTGAAGTGTTGCTCAGCCTGATGGGCGTGCAGTATGAAGGCCTTGAATGCAGCGAAAGGACACAATGGACACTTGAACTGTGGCGGTTCGCACTTGTGCTTCAAATAGTTGCTCCACATCTTGTAGAACTTGCTGCACATTGTGCACGTGTAGCCGAGAACCTGGTCGCCCATGTACATCTTCCGGTAGGCTGAAAACAGAGGGACCAAGTTAGATCGATAGGCGAACAATGATCCTCGGCTTGAGGAGAGAAAACAGGGTTCAGGCATCCTCGATCGAATCGTGTCCGATCTACACCGAGTTTGAGAGAAAAAAAAAAAAAAAAAAAAA